GTAGTAGTAGTAGAGTAGTAGAGTAGTAGTAGAGAGGAGAGAGTGAGGAGTAGAGAGAGAGAGAGAGAGGAGAGAGAGAGAGAGAGAGAGAGAGAGAGAGAGAGAGAGAGAGAGAAGAGAGAGAGAGAGAGAGAGGTGGGTCTGGTTTGCACGGGAAGGTTCAACTCGTCCTATGCAAAATTCAGGTCTGATTTGAACTTTTTTCAAATGGGGTTTTCGCCTTGTTGCGAGATTTTTTAACCTTTCAATTCAAACAGCATGAAGTTATACTAACTACACAGTGCATTTGCGAAGGCTTATAGAAGATGATCCAAAAATCTTCTAATTTTGGGTACATCCAAACTAGAAATTAACCATAATTTCCCAAGAAAGTTTTCCTTGCTAAACTCTCAAGAAGTTAGTGACTGATGAACCATTCAATGACAGCGATTTAAGGCAATTGAAATGAGTGCATGTAGGCCTTACAGAATCATTGATATAAGAAACTCACTAGATGGTATCAGGAGGTCCAGTAATAGTCACGTTCCATTCAAAGATATTGTCATCATCTACCAGTCCAGCTGAGAAGCCATCCACTGGATTTTTTAGAAGCTCTGCACTAGAAAAATGCCACTAATGGTATGAACAATGTGGGATAAAATAATACAAAAATAAAGGGGCAATGTAACAAAACAACTGTGTGCTATCAATTTTGGGTATATAGAAAAGCAAGCAGAATCAGAAAAATTATTCGGCAAACAACAAAGGGCAAGATCTTTTGATTTCATTCCATATTATATCTTCAAAGAACCCAACAAATCAAGCCATAAAATCAGCTGGAAAATAAAGAAAAAGAAACATGAGAATACTGTTATATTTCATGTCATTTCACATAAACATTTGACTTCTGGACTGACCCATGGTTATCACAATATTCTATGTTGAAGATCTATGGCCCTGACACTCTCTTGGTTAATGGTTCCTCAGCCCTGGCAAGAGTGTCTGATTTTCTGGACAATGTACCCCTCATATGGAATCTTCCTTCTTCCTCCTCTTTCCCTCTCTCACGGCTGGTACTTTCTCATGTTTTGCCCATTCGTCCACTTAAGGAACAACTATTATGGATTTATGCGGCAGATAGTCTTTTCTCGGTTAGGAGAGCTTGGGAATACATTAGAAGGGATGCCCCTGTAAAATCATTTTCAGCATCTTGTGGTCTACAACATCTCTACCCAAGGTAAAATGCTTCACCTGGTTAGCTTTGTATTCCAGGTTACCCACTTTGTCGCTATTTCAGTCGAGGGGCCTTGCTTCGATTTCCATATGATCCTTGTGCTCCCAAGAGGAGGACCTCTCAGACCATATCATTGTGCAGTGCCAATATTCAAAACTGTTTTGGAGATCTATTCTTGGTAGATTTGAGAAGTGCTTCCCCCTGGAGCAATCCACAGTGAACACTGATGGCCAAATGCGTTAAATTTAGATTTCGATCCGCAGGTATGCAGTTTGTTTTATCATTTAGAACCTTTGGATGGAGAGGAATTCTCGGATTCATGATGGGGAGAAACACCTAGGGAGCTACTACTACACCGTATTTTTCATTTGTTTGGATCATTGGCAAAAGTTAAAAATTGGGCATTCCATTTCTCAGAATTTAATATAGCTGCCAATCTTATCTCCCTCTGTTCAAATTCATGTGGCTTGGTTGCCTCCTCGTTTAGGATTTTTCAAGCTCAACATTGATGGGATTTCTAGGCAGAACCCAGGTAACGCTGGATGTGGGTATCATCAGAAATGATGCAGCTGGTTTCATTGCGGTATTTGCAACTCCATTGGGTAACAATTAATAAGATAGTTGAATTTCATGAACTTGAGAAGAGGATTTCCCTGCGAGGGACTTAACCTATGTACCTCTTATCATCGAAAGTGACTCCAAGCTTGTTGTTGATTCTATGAATCAGCATTGCAAACCTCCTTGGAGATTACATATTATGTTGGCTAATTGTATATCTTAGCTTGCATCTTTTGCTTACCGTCAATGGAGGATCCAACACGCTTATAGAGAGGTTAATATGGCTAAAGATTCCTTGGCCAAGGCAGCGATTTCTATGAATGAAGCAATGGTGTAGTGTGCTCCCCCCAAACTTTATGACGCCTTTCATTTCATCTGATGTTGCTAGTGTTCCCGTGCAACATGAACATATTCTCAGTTTATTAATAAATGGGTAGGGACCTGATATCCCCACTAATTCACCCAAAAAAAAAAAAATTGAAAAACAACACACCAAAAAGAAAACATTGGTCACACCTTTATCTTGGCCTCTCGGCCCAACCGACCCAGTTTATGGGGCCCGGCCGAGATCGCTCCCTCTGAAAACCTCGTGCGTGTGCGCGTTGTGTGGATAGGTGCCAACGATGAGAGAGATTTTGGTGTTGCGAGGGATTCAGACGCCTACCTCGTGGCGGTTGGGTTCGTGGATACACTTGGGCTCGGCTTGCCCTCTTAGAACAGTTTGAAAGCCGCCGGGCCCTCTCGACACGGTTTGGGGGTCTCACTCCCTTTCTCCAATCACACTACAACTTGATTTTATCGCGCCTTGGGTATGAAATTCAGAGTTGGTAGCTCCTAGTTTGTGCCGGCTGATGATGGTTTTGGGGTAATCGACTTAGGTGGGCTAAGCTTGGGTCTTGGATGGGGTATAGGAGGGGATAGGTAGAAAAAAAGAAGTGAAGACAAAGAAGAAGAAAGAGAAGGGTAGAAGAGGATCACTCTTCGATTCTGTGGCCTCTCGGCATAACCTCCCCCAGGAGGCCTTACTGGTTGACCCATAAAAGGTACTAGGCCTAAGCCTAATACCCCAGAGGCACAACAAGGGACACAAACTTCTTGGGCGCTAGAGAGCCCCAAGGTCTGCCTAATGCCCGGACCCCCTCAAATAATGTATGAGGAGAGGTGGGGGAAAAGAAGGAAGAAGAAGAAGAAGGGAAAGAGGGGGCATTCTATGATTCTGCAACCTTCCGGCATCGCCTCCCAAGAGGCTTTATCGGTTCACCCAAAAAAGGTATTAGGCCTAAGCCTAGCACCCCAGAGGAACGGCAAGAGACACAAACTTCTTGGGCACTAGAAAAGCCGCAAGGTCGACCTAATGCTCAGATCTCCTGAAAGAACGCATTTAAAATAGAAGTAAAAAGTGAATAAAGAAGGTAGAAGAAGTATGAGGAAGTATGAGGGAGAGAAATAAGAGGGAGAGGGAGTAGAAAGGAAGAGAGAGACTAAATTATTTCCAACACTCACCCTCAAGCCAAAGCATAGATACCAATCACACCCAGCTTGCTTATGATATCTCATAATCTATCCCGTCCAACAGCTTTAGTGAAGAAAATGAGGAGTATGAATGATCTTAGCAACAAGCTTCTATCTAATGAAGTGGAAATCTCCTTCAATGTGTTTAGTCCTTTCATGAAATGTAGGATTCTTAGAGATATGAATGGCAGCTTCATTGTGACAGAACAAAATAATGGGAAGCTTAACCTTCAAAATCAGATAGAACATTTTTGACCCACATTTACTTAACACATACCATGAGCCACAACCATGTATTCAGCTTCGGCACTTGATCTTGCCACCAAATTTTGTTTCTTGCTTTCCAAAAGACAAGATTTCCTAAAACAAAGGTGCAATAGCATCTCCTATTAGCTTGGCATCCAGCCCAATCAGCGCCAATGTATATAGCATAAAGAGCAACATCACAGTGCCCTTGATTGAAGAAAAATATCCCTTTCCCTAGAGTAGACTTGAGATATCTCAATATCCGATACACTACATCAAGATGTGGTTTACATGGAGCATATATAAATTGGTTGACCCATAGTTGTTGGGAGCGAGAGCGGGAGTAGGTGCGGGAGCCAAGGACCAACACTTGGCTAAAGCTTCCTACTCTTGGAGCGCTTGCAATCGCTGCTCAGGGAGATAGGTGGAATCTCAGCCGTCACCGACAGCTATAATGAATAGCAATATAGGTGGAATCTCAGCCGTCAAATCTCCATTGAGCGGTTCAATATACATATCACTATTTTAATTTTAATATTTTATCTATAAATTAGATTAAGATGAAATTTTGGGTGTATATACCTAACACTATTGCGCATATAAAAATATGAAAAAACCACTTCTCAAAATTTAAAATGACCAAATTACCCCCGTCATTTTTCAGGAGTATTTTGATCATTTTATATTTTAAAAAATATTTATTTTATATTTTTTTATTGCACACCCTATTTTTTAGTACACACATCCAAAAATTTCATTATGACCCGATTTTTAGAAAAAATATTAAAATTCAGATAGTGATTTGTATTTTGAACTACTTGATGAAGATCTGACGACGGGGATTCCACTTATATTACTATTCATTATAGCTGCCAAGTGTTTTTCAGCGTTTTCCTTTATATATAGATATAAACTTTGATTGTTTAGGGCCCCAACCTTATACAAAATTTACAAATCAAGCCTTTAAAAATAAAATATGAACAATCAATCATTTAGCATTATTTGTCACATAATAATAAGAACTTTATCGCTAGAAAGTTCCTTAAAAAAGGAGATAAAAAAATGAGAATGCAAGGTCATGATAAGAATTGAACGTAGATTTATTTTTAAGCCACTAGGGCCTTTTATCTTGGTTGCTTTAGTGCTTATTACATGCAGGCATCCAAAAGGAAACCAAAAAAATAAGCACAATGCCAAGAGAATTGATGAACCCAATTTGTCAATCTTTATCTACTCACATTCTTTTTCAAAAAAAAGAAAAAACATGGTCACACTTCATTCAATTCCTCCCTCTCTTTGCTATTGAACCGGATCGGCAGCTCACAGTCTTTGTTCCACAGAAGCTGCATGGCATGGGTTGGATACAGGCTGACGTGCATGGCTAGTGGAAGGGGCATCAACACAAACACTTGTAGGAGCTGTTGCATTACATGGATGGTCTGTGGGTAGTCTCAAGGCAGGTAAAAGCCTTATAAATTAAGCAACATCAGCAGAATCAAGCCGTGCATCCAACACCACCAAAGCGTCTATGTCATCCTTAAGGTGGTCATCATTAGGGTGAGCGTCCCAATTTTTATAAGTTGACTCATAATCCGCACGTAACCTACTCAACAACCTGTCTTTACAGTGCATATATACCAATGACTCAGACCTGTCAGCATTCAACCTGTTATGCTTGACACTATGTATGTGGTTGTAATTGCTCCAACACATGTTCGCACTTGAGGAGTTGATAATCTGTGATAATACCTTTATAGTGAGAGAATACAATTCCAGCACACCACCACCACATAGGTCCCCACCATGCAACAGCATCCATCGTTTCGCGATCAATTATAGACTGTGGATTGGAAAAACCCCTCGATTACTACCAAAATCACTAATATGCTTCCGCATTCGACCTCGATCACTCTCATAAGCAATCTGCTTCTCAAGAGCTTTTTGGTAAGAACTGGAGACCCCAATGTCATGATGGGGCTTTTTCTCCTTTCCCCCTTTGAGATGAGGGTTAACAACCACTCTCGGGAGTAGTACTTTGATGTAAGGACAAAAGCCGAGCAATGGAAAGAGAGATTCGTCCTGTCTCAACATTGTAAAGTCAACTCCATCACCTTTTGATATAGAGCAGGCTCATCGTTCAAGCTAATGCTTATACTTTTTAAATAATGGGAGAAAATAAGCTTAAACCCCATGAAAGATGACATGGGCATTATGACATATAAGGAGAAACATCAAGAGTCTTGGCTATTCGACACTTCTTAGAGTAAGATAGAGACACTGGGATGGATTTTTTCCTTCATTGGGGAATCATAATCCAAAGAGTTAGCTCTTTTGGAAGGACATCCAAGATCCATTTGAGATATTCTTGGCCATTTTAAGGACTAAATCCTTAAGGGACCTCCATAAGGAGTTTCCACATATGAGTGACATCCAACATGTAATTGATTTGATGACCGAGCTGGCATTCCTAACCAAGCTGCCTATAGCATAGTTGTTGGCAGTGGGAGTGGGTGCAAGTGCCGGTGCCGGTGCCGGTGTAGGAGCATGGGATCAGCACTTGGCTAAAGTTTCCTACCCTTGGAACGCTTGGCTAAACCCCATGTAAGAACTTTATTGTTAAAAGGTCCCCAAAAAAAAGTAAGAAAAAATGAGAATCCAAGGCCTTGAACATAGATTTCTTATTAAGCGACTAGGGCCTTTCATCTTGGTTGCTTTATTGCATATTACATGGAGGCATTCAAAAGGATTAAAGGAAACCAAAAAAAAACAGCACAATGCCAAGAGAGTGATGAACCCAATTTGTCAATTTTTATCTCATCATGTTCTTTTTCAAAAAAAAAAACAAAAACTAGACATGGTCACATTTCATTCAATTCCTCCTTCCCTTTGCTGTTAAACCCGATCGAGCAGCTCACAGTCTTTGTGCCACAGAAGTTGCTTGGAATGGATTGGGTACAGGCTGACGTGGCTGCTTAGTGGAAGGCGCATCTACACCAACACATGTAGGAGCTGCTGCATTAAATGGATAGTCTGTAGGTACTCACGTGACAAGTAAAAGGCTTACAGGTAGAGCATCGTCAACAGCATCAAGCCATGCATCCAACGCCACCAAAGCGTATATGTCATCCTCGAGGTGGCCATCATTAGGGCGAGCGTCCCAATTTTTATACGTTGACTCATAATCCGCATGTAACCTACTCAACAACTTGTCGTTATCGTGCACATAAACCAAAGACTAAAACCGGTCAGCATTCAACCTATTATGCTTGACACTATGTATGTAGTTTTAAGTGCTGCAGCACCTCTCTACACTTGAGGAGTTTATAGTTTGTAATAACACCTACACAGCAAGAGAATACAATTCTGGCACTCCACCGTATAGGTCCCACCACACGACAGCATCCATCGTTCCACGATCAATTATTGACTGTGGATTGGAAAAAGTCCCTCTATTACTAACAAAATCACTCATATGCTTCCTCATTCAACTTTTGTCATTGTCATCTGCAATCAACTTCTCAAGGGCTTTTTGGTACGAACCGCAGACCTCAATGTCGTGATGGGGCTTTTTCCTCCTTTCTCCTTTGGGGTGAGGGTTGATAGCCACTCTTAGGACTAGTACTTTGGTGTAAGGACAAAAGCAAAGCAATGGAGAGGGAGATTCGTCCTGTCCCAATGTTGTAAAGTCAATTCTATCACTTTTTGATATAGAATAGGATTATCGTACAAGCCAACTGCAATATCTAACAACATTGCGTCCATGCGCTCATAAGCATCTCCATTGACAGCTTTATAACATCTCCAAACTGGATCATTTTCCATATTGGCCTTATGAAACGGACGATAATCTTCATCTGACTTCAAAATTCCTCATTCGTTATTGTGTTGCGCACTTCGCCATGTACGTTATCTGATGATCCATGCTTCAGCCCCTCCCAATCCTCACTCAATACTGATGACATTAATGTAACCCTAGCCTCCAACAATCGCCTCAACATAACATAATGATATCCAAATCTTGTTTTCTTAACTTTCAAGATCTCTAATTTCGAGTAAGTTCGAAACAGATACAAACATCTAGTGTGAATACGAATGTACTTGACCATGCGCATTGCCTCCTTGCAATGATCACGCACAAACTTGGTATTTTGCTCCTTATTAACAATGTCTTTCATCAGGAGGCTTAACAAGTGCGCTAACCACGCTGACCAAAAAATGTGAGGGTCTCTCCGCATCACCTTCCCCGCTAATTTACAGTTTGCAGCATTATCTGTCACAATCTGACCCACATTGTATGGGCCAACCATGTCTATTGCTTTTAGAAGTATCTCAATCATATTAGCAATTGACTTTTCTCTATTAGAGCAATCATGAGCACTTATAAACATTGCTCTGCCTCCAGACACTGCCATGACATTTGTAAGAGTGTCGTGTTTTATGTTGTCCCACCCAACAGAGACGATAGACACTCCATGAGTTGCTCAATCCTTTTTACTATACTTAGAGCACGATCAATATGTTTGTTTTCTTTGTCAAGCAACATCATGTACACCTTATCATATTTAAGGGCCATGTAGCCTTTAGGAGCATGATTAATAGCACAAACCATGTTGTCAAACCTCGGGCCTTCATAACATTGAACGAAATGTTGTGCGCATAAAAGCAATGTGCAACTGCATCATTTACTTCATCCCTTGCACACACATCAAACGTTTCAGCAATCATCTTCTACTTGCTCATAGGGTGGTCACTTTGAGAGTGCTGAGCCCTGGTGATGTGGACGACAACTTGTTCGAGGGAAAATTGAAGGATCAAGGTGAGTATGGCATTAGCTTCTTTGAAATATGTTTTGCCCCAAACAACCTTAGAGCCTCTGCTTCCTCCTCCTTTAAAGCAGCCCTCTCTGCCTGGGGTATCTTACAGCACAAATTAATTCCTAAGCCTTTTTGCCCAGGTAACAACCCTATCAAGTGTGCACGTGTACCCGAGCGTATGATCCAGTGTATGCAGTATCTCTATGTAAATTATTACATGTCCACTTCCATCCAACACCACCACCTTTGGTATCTCCACCAACCCTTGTTACATATCTCCACAATGGAGTTGCAGTGGCCTCTTCAATTGTCTCATCATCTACCTCAGCGGCGATATCATTTCTAAAACTATCATTTTGTTCAACTTCCACCCCTTCCTCCATAATCCCTGGCCCTGCATTTGATGTAAGATAGGCAAAAGGAACCCTAAGGTAGACTTCATCAAAAAAGTAAAAGAACATCTTTATTCAAAAAAATATCTTATTAACCCAACCTCATATCACACCACAAACAATATTCTCCAAAACATTAACATTAATTCAAAAGTTACAAACTACAAAAAGGTGACATACATGTCACAGACACTTGAAATTACTGTGTAACTTCCAAAAGTTACAACTTCCAAGGTGACATACATGTGAACGCTTAAGATCACTATGAAACTTCAAAAGTTAGAACCATGTGTCAACAAAAAAACACTAACTAGACTGAAACAGACAAAATACAAATTGCTTGGCATCACATGGAGAACATAGAAATGATGAAGACTTAACTAGTAAGTTTCATAATACTTCATATATTCAGCTTCTGACTCTTAGGAGTTAGAAGTTTCATAATATATCATGTATTCCCCGCCTATGGAGATGGCGTCCTTTAACTTGAGAGGAACAAGGCGGCAGGGGGGGGGGGAAAGGGGGGGCTGGTGGTGGCGGAGGCACTATGGGTGGGGTTGGGGGTGGAGGAGGTGGTGGGAGAGGCACTATGGGTGGGGTTGGGGGTGGAGGAGGTAGTGGGGAGGAGGCACTACAAGTGGAGATGGAGGTGGAGGTGGAGGTGGAGGTGGAGGTGGAGGTGGTGGTGATGGAAGTACACCAATGCCCTCCCTTAGCCTACACGCATACACCCAACTAAAATGCCTATCCATGGCCACACCATGCTCAGATAGAGGAATATTCACATCAATATCATCCAAATGAGCTATAAACAAATATATGGCAAGAAATGACATCCACACATGCAACAATTTAAAGAAACATGACAAAAAAAATTAGTCCACTTTAGCCTCCCAAAAATCATAAATTGAAAATAACAAAGCCATGAAATTAGAAAATTAAAAAAGGGCCTAACAAAAGAAATATACCAATGCTACTAGAACCAAGAAAAAATAAAGAAAATAAAAACATACTGAAAGAGAATCATGGCCAACATAAGAGTAAAGTTTAACATGCAAATAATATTAGATAAGCATAAATAAAATAGGCACCAATCTTTCACAAATTTTATCCCATGCATATATGTGTATAAATACCAACTTCAAAATGGGGATATATAAGATCATGAGAGGGAGAGGTCCACCCTTCTCAAGTGCAAAAAAATAAACCGCAAAAAAACAACAAAGGAAGAAATAGGAGTACCACAATGCCAGCAGTCTCCAACCATACCAAGAGCTTCATATAGCTACAAAATAGAGTCCAAAAAACAATCCAAAAACCCAAAACCTAAGATCCAAACAGAGCATCTACATGCCCTGGTCAACATCTCCATGATCTTCACCCCCTCTTACCACTGGAACCACATTGTCATCAGCATCAGCATCAGCATCACCGCCTATCATTAGATCTGCATCTTGATCAATATTGCCATCCTCCATTGGCTTCATCATCACCTCACCATCACCATTGACTTCGTCTACATCTTCTTCTTCTTCACCACCATATCAGAGGCAACTCTCAAAGCCAGCAATAGCAGGAAGCTCCCCATGTGTACGATACCTAGTCCATCGCTCAGCTAGCAGCATGTCTAACTCCACTTGGAGTACACTCATATCCAGAGACAAACCATTATATAAGTACTTTTCAGATGTAAGCCCGTCAGAAATGTCACTAATTTGGGATCTACGTCTAAAGTGCTTTCATCTCTAACCTGCCTCCTCTCTTGACCACAACGATGAGAAAGAAAAATGAAGGCCTCACAAGCCACCGATTGCTCGGCCTCTTTCTTCCTAACTGGCCTCTTTCTTCCTAACTTGTGCAGCACCTTCAAATTGAAAATCAAGGCCCATAACTATCGCCTTAAACGCACATTGGTTTCCAATACCATATAAATGGGGAGGGCATTCCCACTAGCCTGAACCAACTCTTGTAGTAGGTTCTTGAAAGAAGGTAGTTCAGCAGGGTGAAAAGTTCGATTTGCAGATGAGGAAGCCATGTCAAAACAGAAAAAATATTTTAAATGTCATAATCCAAAAGCTACCCCAAGGATCAAATATGAACATGAAGGACAACATACCTTACTACCATGGAAGGACTGGGCATCATACCAAAAAGACGGGCAACTGGGATTGCTTTTTAAGCATATAGAACAGGTCCCAACGGAACGAACCCCTCATGGTGACAAAACCCAGTATCCCTTAGGCACCTAAAAGAGGACATAGAACATTTTAAAAAGTATTACCATTTCTGAAACCAAGCTTGGAGTAACCTCTTAAATGAATGTTTTCATACTCAATTACAAGCCCACTTTTGAAATCTAGCTCAAAGTAAGTTGTCGGGCCTGATTTATCGTCGTCCCGGGTCGGCCCGAATATGGGTGACCCGATTAGAGGAATCCTCTCTCAAACAACCGTGGGGCCCACGCATGTGTGTGTGCGTGTGCGTGTGCGTGTACGTGTGCGTGACGTGCGGATACGAACCAACAAAGAGAGATTTTAATCAACAAAGAAAGGCTCGAGCACCTACCTTACCGTGTTGGGTTTGGGGGCCGTGGCTAGGCAATTCGCCCTTTTAGATCATTTCAAAAGCCCTCCGGCTATCATTGCAGCACAGTTTGAATTCGGCTCCCTCGCTTCACTGCATAGCACTCGAATCAACACTCTAAAAATGGCCTTCAGGGTATAATACACCTTTTGGGATATCCTCCTATTGGTAGTTAAATGGTAGATTGGGGGTCTGGTCTAAGGGTTAAAGCGGTAAGAGAGAGTAGGAAATCGAGGGAGAGATGGATGACTGCGAGGAGAGTGTGAGGTGTTCGGGGCAGAGAGAGTGTTGGACGAGAAAAGAGAAAGAGGTAAAAGACAAAAGCGATTTGTACCCACAGCTAAGACGTGGGCTTGGGCATGAGATGATGAAATGGGTTGGCATGGTGTAAAATGAACATGGATGTGAAATTTATGAAAGCATGAGGATGTGAGGTTTCATGAGGGTGGGGTACGAGACAAAGTTGATGGTGGTGGATCTCATGAGAATTGAGTAAAAGACAAAATGGTAAAGATGGGATGGAGAGATGGTGTGGAATGAGCTAATGGGTGCATGACATGGTCATGGCGATAGTGAAAGTTAAGGTGAAATGAATGAGACAAAACAAGGAAGTAGATAAGGTGTCATGAGATGGTGTGCATATTTAAGACAAATCATGGGGAGCATGATGTGACGTGATGGTAGGTGAAACATGGAAAGCTCCCATGAACTGGATTTGTAAAAGTGAGGGAAATGAGGTAATACTGAGGTAGTTATGAAGTTGGCAGGTACTGAGGAGAGTTCTGGTTCTTCGACGTATCTATCTTGCTAATGCAGCAGAAAACAAGAACAGCTAATGCGTTGAGTAGTGAGTAGAATAGGTTTAATGGAGGAAACCTAGCCTCGTTAATGGCAGGGAAGGTGCACGCCTAGGAGAGGGCAGGGAAGCTGCAAGGCTAGTTGCGAGCAGGGAAGGTGCAGGGCTAGGAGCAAGCAGGGAAGCTGCAGGCCTAGGTACGGGCCCGGGAAAGTGCAGGTCTAAGAGTGGGCCCGAGAAGGACTATGGTGTATGGTGTAGGGTTTAAGGAGTTGGGAATTGAAAGTAGGAGGTCCAAAGGCAATTACCCAAAGTGGCATTGTTTTCTCTCTCCTCTCTCTTGAAGTTAGAAGCAATGCAAAATCAAAGGCATGATGGGGCAAAAACCTAATTTTTTTATTATGCTTCCCAACCTCTCTTTTACAAATGACTTAAGTTCCTTATATGGAGCAACCACAAAACAAGCGTGGAATACTCAAAACTAAACCAAATTGTCAAAAATTACATATTAAATGAAATAAAATTAAATCCCATTTTTGGACCAAATGACCAAAATACCCAAGTGCTTTTCAACAAATGACAAACCATCCCTCCATGAGGGGCCTATTGCCATTGCTAGATTTCGAGAGCTTTTTCGAATGCTTGCGATGGTCATTCGGGCAATCAATCATCGTAGAATCGATGCTTGATATATTGCGCACGTTTTGATGCCCTTTGATCGTCTTGAAACAGATTTTTAGGAAGAACCTAAAATCCGGCCCAGTCCATAAACTTTGCCATTCTTCGACCACCAATCTAGTACGATCTATGATGTTCCGACTCTTCATTTTGATCACAAATTGAAGAGGACAATGTCACGATCGTTTTACAATAAATTTTGTCCGATTTGGATTCGTTTAAGCATATTCCGAATTTCGGAAGTCGCCAAAAATGGGGTTCTAGCGACTGGAAAATCTTGCCATTTTCAACCTCGAAATTCGTGTTATCCAGTCTCCGATCATTCGCAAAAACTACACCAAATTGTAGCTCTTCGCAATACAATCGCACCGAACCCATATTTGTGATGATCCGACATCGGGATCTTGAGTTATGGCCTCACAAAGTATTGGATGTTCTCTTGTATAAGATCTGAATTTTCATGCTTTCGAGCTCATCTTCTCTCTAGAAATTCTCTCCTTTCGGGGCACATCATGACGTGTGCCATATGTCAAAACGATCGAGTTGTCGAGATCTAGCTCGTGTCCAGATTTGAACTTGATTGGACTCCAAACGAGAGAGTTATGAGCATTTGGAAATCATCCCGAAATGGGAAAACATAGTTTTCATAAATGAAAACTGGTTCACCGAGGCTGCACCGCAATAGTGTAAAACCCGCCCTTTTATAGTAAGTTAGGCCCAGAATGATCCAGGAAGGTCTGATTGAGCCTAAATTTGGTCCCTGGAGGTGTTTCAATGTTCTAGATCTAGCAGCGGTAATCTGATACTGCTTTGAGACCATAAAAATAGGGCTATAGTTGTAGGGTACATTTTCAGCATGATTGGAACTAGATTTGAGATCCAAGTTTCATCCTGATCATATCAAAACTTGTCAAAACGCGACGAAACTTTGCAAGTGTCCTTAAGGTATCCCAAACTACCCTCTCATGCAATTTAAGGTCATTCTAACATTTCTTTAGAGGTAGCCCAGTTTTAGGCTTATTAGGGTAGTGTTCCCGTGGTCTGGCGGTATCTTGGGTATCGACGGGACTAGGTTACTACTAGCTCTCTCCTTATATACATCGAGGATACAAGTGTCAAAAAATACTCTATAACAGTAAGCTCTTAAGTGAATGCTTTCACACTCAATTAAGAGTCCAGTGATGATACATACATTGGACCCTCTCACAGCCCATCAAATCCTTCTTCACCAATCTATGATTCAGATGGTTACCCACTCATGACACTGATTAAAGCAACACTGTTCAACACTATTCTATCGGCAACACTGTTCAACATTATTATGTAGGCAACACTGTTCACTGTACATTACCTTTTCACTGCTCATGTCGGCCACCTGTCCAGGCCAGCTGTCTTATTTTGTTTAGCTTTGGAATCCGGATTTCGAATCCGGGGCTTATATAAGGACCCTTTGGTCAATTGTAATGGCAGAGCGCTACTTAGAGCCTCTCAACCTAGTTTCTTAATTTGGTGTGCTTCTTCCCTTACTATGGTATGCTTCTTCTTTCTTCTTTTACTTGTAAGTCTTTATGATCCATATGTTTATAAACTCTCGGTGACAAAAGAAGCAGCAAGGAAGAGTAAAGAAGAGCAACAAAGAAGAATAAGGGTAACAGAACTTAAAACATGCACACCTAGAGTTTATAAACATAAGGATCATAAAGACTTACAAGTAAAAGAAGAAGGAAGAAGCATACCAAAGTAAGGGAAGGAGCACACCAAAGTAAGAAACTAGGCTGAGAGGCTCTAAGTAGCCCTCTGCCATTACAACTGACCAAAGGGTCCTTATATAAGCCCCGGATTCGAAATCCGGATTCCAAAACTAAATAAAATAAGACAGCTGACCTGCACAGGTGGCCGACATGAACAGTAAAAAGGTAATGTACAGTGGACAGGTGGCCGACATGAACAGTGTTGCCGACAGAATAGTATTGAACAGTGTTGCCGATAGAATAGTATTGAACAGTGTTGCCTTAATCAGTGTCATAATTGAGGGGGTAACCATCTGAATCATAACTTGGTGAAGAAGCATTTGACGGGCTGTGAGAGGGTCCAATGTATGTATCATCACTGGAACTATCTGTTGGTATTTCTGCAGGAGGGGGATGGTTAGCAAGCCAAATGTGTAGCTAGTGTAACAGTGCAGCTCCTCGAGGAGTCTCATCATTCCAAACTATGGTTCCTGCATAGACATCTAAAAGAATCCCTTCTGGCTGGCTTTTGTTAATGTAGCACATGAGAATTTTCAATTCTTTCTATAATTCTGTTTGAAATATCAAAAAATTCAGGAGATTAGAATCATATCATCCAATGGTTTGGATAAGAGGATATAGGGTGAAATAGGTATGTTCTGGATAGATTTGAGGAGTAAGGTTTTGATGGAAAGCTATAATGATATAAGGTCTGTGAGGATAACCAAAGAATTCAATCCATTGATTATAATGGTAATGTTTTAAAAGAAATTTATAGAAGTTGAATGCTCTGGGATTGGGGTGAATGTAATTATTCCATTGTAATAAATGACAGTGTCTGAGGTAGGATAATAATATTCTTACATGGAAATTAAAACATATATGGTGGTTTTGGGTAAGATACAAGAGGAAACAAATTGCTTCTTTTGGCATATTATAATAATGTCTGGTTTGGAACAGGGATAGAAATGTAGGATGGCATCGAATTCCTTAAAAACAATCTTCATGATTTCTGATTAATATTTCATGCATTTTTTGTTGCATATTCTCATTTCTGGATTCCATTGTCTTTTTGAGAATAATGTCATATATTTCATCAGGAACTTCTCTTGTTTCTTCCTCAATTTTGATTATTGCTCCCATGAAAAGAACAACAGTAATACTTGTTTCTTCAGAAAATTTTCTTCGAGAAAAC